CTAGAGGTACGCCCTGTGTGATCAAGGATATTTAGGCTCTTAACAAGAGGCAGTCCCGATCATTCTTACACAAGCTACCACTGCTAAATCCTAACTGACCAAATTGTATTTTAGTTTAATATAGTTTGAAACCTAGTAATTTTCATCGAAGTTTACATGGGTTCACGAGTAACAGACATAGGAGTTGCAGATTCCGGCAGCTCGGCCAGCATGGCTTCGATATCAGCATACTCTACCGACACTTCTACCACCTCTGGTTCATAGTAGCACTTTTTACACAAGTCGGTTGTTCCGGTTACAACCATTTCCTCCACAACCTTATTCTTAAGAGAACCACACGACTGCTTAAGGTGCACTTTACCCTTGGCGGCACCGGCAATTCGGTACCCCGTACGGGACTGGACGATCGGTGCAACAGCGACAGGGTCGGGCTCACATTCTGTAGGAACACGATGTGTTGGAGCTTCTGGTAGCCCGGTGGGTGACCCAGTAGTAGCGCCAGTACGGTTACTGGTCCTGGAGCGTGCAATGGCCGCAGCCGCAACGTCAGACACGGGGGCCACCGGTGTAGTTGGAGTTGCCGTGGCCGTAGGACTACGCGAAGAAAGGTGGTTGTCGTGGATACTAGGATACACCAATTCATACCGGGGGTACGTGGTTTGCTACCCCGGTTGGTGCTGTTGGTACAGCTGCCGGTAGCATAGATTTCTTCGTCCCCACTAGCCTAGTGCACTGACAGGGTTGGTAGTTGCGGTCCAGAACCGAGCTAAAGAGCATCGGTTTTCTGATTTCAGTAACCCTCTCCAGGGTGCAGCTGGCATCAAAATGGAATAGGATTACCGGCCGAGCCAACGTAGGATTGCGTTCAGAGACAAACCACACAGTATCATTGTAACCGTGGACATAATAGCCCGCCATCTTAGCCGTTAGGATTGAATCTGCGTTGAAGACGTGGCTACCAGCGTCCGTGGGTGTAGCGAGAAACATGGTTGTTGTTAAAGTTGTTGGTCTGGATTGGATTTAGTAGTTGTCAGTGTTTACTAGTGAGCATGTGACCTACAAATCAAGAATGCCCAGGCTACTTATACACACCGTTGGTGCACAGAGTTTGGGTTAACATACTGTTTGGATGGGAGGTTCACGATTCGGAGCTGAGTGGTCGATCACCCCCGTCACACTAAAAAAAAAACTAGAACCAAGAGGTTGCTATGGGTTTATATGGTTTATTAAAGTTTAAGGGTTTAGGGTTTTAACGGTAAGACCTACACAGGTCAGTATCCGAATCAACGGAAACTTCAACTATGGACTTGTTCGTAAGATAGCGGCACGTAGATTTTGCGTGTACCTTTGTTCTACGAACACCCATACTAGCAATCTGATAAGCCCACTGCAACCTGATTTTGAACAGCCGACCCCATGCAGTGGTGGCTAAAATCGAACCTGGGTCTGAAACTACTGCCGACACTTTCACCTAACAATGTTTGGGGTGCAGTCCTGTATCTGCTACTACATAGTTGACACAAGTCAGTCGTTTCCGAAACGGGCACCTCGTCCACGGATTTGTTCGTCAGTACATTACAGGTGTTTCTAAGGTGTACCTTGGTCCGAGTTGTACCCGCTATCTGGTAGCCACGGTGCACGTTGATCCTGGTTGTATCTGCAACCCAGCGGTGGTGACCAAGCTGAACCTGTTGCGTACACGGGACTTGATCGTCAACAATTGGGGCATGGCTAGTAGGGGTGGCAGCAACAGTGGTAGTCACGCTACTCGGACACCTCAATTTGGGTCGCCACTTCAGATGTACACGAGATGGTGCAATTAACGATGTCGTCGTTATACAGTGCCTTGTTTACACTGTCGTTAGGAACCACTGTAGCATACTGTGCAATGATGGGGCTGGTGGGGGGTTGTCCCGGCTGACCATCACCCGGTGAAAAGCAGAATCTTTAACATAGCCGGACTCTTACGCTCAGAAGTGTGAACCGATTGCAAAGAGCCTATTGGGTCTGCCTGCATACCGCACCTGTGCGATATACCGGTAATGAGATTCAGGGTTGTATTGCACACCTCGCATGCATACTCAAAAAACTGTAGCATATGCTTACAATCGGATTCGGAGCCAACTTAACCCAGCGCGCCCGGCAATTGGGGCATCTTAGGCGTACAAGTCGACCTACACAGACTTCATAACGTAAACGCACAGCACGTGGTCGTCGTTATAGTCTCTGATACCTTTACACATACACCGCACGTAAATATTCGTTCACAGAGCTCGCCGCTGTTCACCAAGTAGTCAATTCCCGTGCGCGGTTTTACTGTACCGGCAATCATTCTAGCTGCCATTTATTCATACTCGCTCGCAGGAAATGGGTGCTAAACTAAATACTGCTCCCCCAAACATTTCTATATATATAGGCCTCACCGATGGCGATAGGTAACGGTGGTCGACGGTTCAACCATGATTGGTGGACCACACCCCCAAGCACACCCCGATTGAAGTATAAATATCGACCACAGTCGGTCATTATACTTCATACGATCAATCGTATTTCATTAAAATTAAGCAAGCAAGTACGTGCACGTGTAAAGTAGAAACATAAGAAGATGTATACACCTACTACCGCTACCTCCACCTATAATAAGGACCTGGATCTAAAAATTTATATCTACCAATAAAATACATTCAAATTCTCAGATTGCTCTGGATTATTTTCTGGATTCTGTGTGAATGGGTTATTTCACTGCCATCTCTGGACTCCGTTTGGAGTATTGACAATTTTATGAACCCGTAAATTGTTTTCAGGATGCAGTGTGAGTGGATAGTTTTGAAATTCCCGCACTGGTGAATTGGAAAATAGAAACTGAGTAAATATTTTAGATAAGCCAATAAAACCCCACGAGTTGTCCTTGGAAGATTCGTTTCATTTCACAAATTGTTTGAACCGGTGCGCAGATGCGGAGTGCGGCACTCCGGACATTCTTACATATTTACATTTTTCATAGCCTTCAGCGGCAGCCTAAAATATTTAATTTTCAAAAACAAAAATATGCATTTGGTTTTTTGTTTGTTTTTAAATTGGGTTGAAAAAGAAAAAGCTATCAAAGCCACAATTAGTAAAATACACACTTCACACCTAACCTCATAAAGTTATGGGGTCACTGTATAAACGTTAAACCTTTAACTGTTACTTTCTGGAATATAAAAGTTGTAACCTTTATTTGGGACAAAATAATATATAAGAATTTTAATTTTGCACTTGAAAATATGTCTTATAAATTTTATTTTTGGGCCTAAAGTGAAATTTAGCAAATCAGAAATGTTCAACCTAACACTTGGTAGTTAGTATTTGGAAGTTGGCTTTTAAAAATAGGACAATATATATATAATTACTGACCTGAATATTGCACCTACTGAATTTAAGAAGGGCATACATAGGTATAAAAGGTGTTCTTTAACGTAAAAAAAAACATTCAAAAATAAAAGTTATAACTTTTTATTATGAGGTTAGCTTCACACTCAGTTCACAGTTCACACAGACTCGCAGAATCATCACATACCAAAGCGGTATGTGGTTTTTTTATTTAGTTTTTAAAATTACATACCACAGTTCTAAATATTTCCGTTCAATTTTCAGTTTTCTGTTCAATTCTCAGTTTAACTTATAAAATTAAATTGTGGGTTGGAAGTGTATTTAACTTGTGACTCATCACTCTGTGAGCCTTGTGAGTCTGGTTGTGACTTGTGAGAGCTAACCTCATAAAGTTAAGTTATATTGATATATAAGTTTAACGTTTTACTGAAAACGTTGCAACATTTTACTGCTTCAATTTGGACCTTAATTATTTCGATTTGCTGCCCACGATAGTGAACCTATTCTTACACTTTTGGCCACAAAATGGAAAATCGGCCAATGAAAAACAACTAGAAACTGAATATCTTTGCATTTTTTATCTGACAATATGGCACTTGTGAACTTGTGAAGTTGTCACACTAGTCACTAGGCACCAAATCACCAATAACACATAAAAGTCAAACTAATCGTGCTAGTAGACTGTGTAGCCTGTTGCCTGTAGACTGTAAATCCTACATATCTCTATCAATTATATATATCTTAACTTCTAGAATGTGAACAACGTCAATATCAAGGGATAGTGTAGCGGGCTAATATACTTGACAACGCTCAATCAACGCTCAAGTCTCCAGAACCGATGGTTGGGCGGGCAATAGTTAGGTAATGTGGTTAGGCCAAAACTCTGACCTGGACAATGCTCGTATGGGTAGCTTTAGGACTACGTATATATAGGAAAAAGTTCAACTTTTAACTTTTACTTTTTCATTTGAAAACGTTGCAACGTGATGAGGTTAGCTTGTGAATTGTGAACTTGTGACGCTCTAAAATAAAAGCCACTTATGTATATTTAATACCATTTGTATTTTGTGGTCCCTCCGGCGGTCCGGCCCCATCATTAAAAAATTTCATTCCAGCAGACTGCCCAGAGCGAGTCCAGCTCCAGACTCCTAAGTCCTGTCCTCCACCTTTTCCTGTGTTCCCATAGAGTCAAATTAAGAGTTGTAGAATGTAGAGAGTAGACTGTAGACTGTAGACCCATATGTAGGCCATAGACTTCTGAATAATTTTGAAAATGACTAAATTTTCAGAAGGCTATCCTTTTCGATTGTGTCTATACTGATATACTCTATACGGCACCCGTGAGTCCGTGACTATAAAGCTAGCATCGCCGTGCTACATACTTGTATTCAGTATTCCGATATGAACTAAGTGATATTTAATAAAATAAAGAAATATTTATTCTGGAAAAAAAAACGGTTAATATGTATTGAAATCACAGAACAGGACAAAATCCCTTGGACCTGTGAAATTTACAACAGAGCGGGACAAAACAAAATTCAACATTGTTGAACTAAATACAAAACCAAAAGATTATTTATTCATACATAGCCTTCTCTCATCTTGTGTATGATTTAAAAAAATAGATGACGGCTATGAAAGGCGTTGTATTTTATTCTATTTCAGGTGATAGGTGTAGATTATGTACCGAAAACTGATACTTGACTCCATAAATAACGACCCTACCTTTGCGAATGGACCGGATGCGGTTTTGGACACGGGCTTGGGCGTTAATAATATTATAGTCACGGGTGTCGTATAGACACAATCTTCCCACTGAAATGCTTTTTGCTTTAAAAAAAAATCAAAAATCAAAAACAAATTATAACAATAAAAATAAATTATAAAAATACTTACTGTACAATGACGTAAATATTTATGTATATATGTATATAATTTTTATTTGATTTAAAAAAACAAATACAAAATAAGCATGTATCCCATAGCCTTCTGAAAATTTAAAATAGGTTATGGGTGTCAATTTAGAAGGCTATGTTATGGGAGTATGGGTGCACATTCACATCTGCACAGTGCACAGAGCAGTGAGGAACTGAGGACTGTGGACTGAGGACTGAGGACTAAGAAGTAAGAACCGTTCGTTCATCCTGATTTTCAACCCTAAATATATCCAAAACTAACAGTTCAATTTTGTCCAAAATGAAAGGAGGCTTTTGGCAGAGCTTGATACTGCCAAAAACATGGCGGACCCTATGTTTTTTTTATCTAGCCCAAATTTTAGTATACACTTTTTAAAAAAAAGCAAGAAGATAAATTGGACTTTTTCAGCACCGATAAATTTTTGACATTTAGACATTTGGTGATTTGCTTCGAAATGTCTTGTGAGGCCGGATGGTCAAAACCGTCGAGTTTTTAGGTTTTCCCTCTTTGGAATCGGTGTATGGCCAATTTTTAATCGCTTCAAAAGTCCCGGATTGTAAAACTTTGTGTGCTGAACACAGAATTTAGCCGATTATTATTGTGCTATGGTGCAGAGGGGCAAGAACCTGCGCCTCCGGGTCAATTTTTAAACTTGAATAGCTTATTGTTTCTAATAATTTTCTATAAAAGGTGGATCGGCGTGTAGCCATGGACGAGACGCGTCGATAGCGCCTGTGTTCATTATTCCCATTTTTTTGGACCTCGACCCCTATACCCCCCACCCCACCTTTACACTAGATAATATAGACTTTTGGACATTTCCAATGTTTACACTAGGTCAAATCCACTTTTGGAACTCGAAACCCAATTTTCACAATTGATGATAATGCCACAAAATATTAACAAACAAACAATTACACAAGTATTTGTTTTGGCCTCCTAAAAAAAGAACAATTTGAAACAATATGGAGTCAACCAGAGGATTCGACCCAACTAGGCTGAGTTTGGACATACCATTTCCTTTTTTTAAAAGTAAAATTTTAAAATTTTGGAGACGACAGAGCCCTAATTCTGAGGCTGGGGAATCAGAATCCGCCCTAATTTGCTCCCTAGCTAAACTTGAACCGATTCAAAATCGTGTTTGAAAAATATTCACATTTTTCTCATGTATGCCGATTTTTGTAACACTCATAACTCTGAAGATATTCAAAATTTTCACATTGTGGTTATCCGAAGTTAGCATTCGGGTATAACGAGAGGAAGCCGTAGCCGCTGTAAAAATCGAGATTGCACAATTATTTCGAGGCCCATCACTGTTTGAAAATCGGGCCCCGGGAGGCGCAGGTTCTTGCCCCTCTGCACCATATATGCTGCAACTGCTCTCAAAATTGATTTTTTGGGTAATTCAGAAAAAAGAAAAAAAGGAAAAAAAAGTGGTGGTCCCCAGACCCCAAAGGCAGACCCCACTCCCCGTATGTGGTCTGGTGGCTGGTTCAGTTCTCACTGTGCTTTAGGTGTGTACTCGTGTAGTACATACACTATAGTGTTATTTACTCTCTCAGTGGTAGTGTGTACTGTGTAGTAGTGTACCCTACAGTGCCAGACGGTGTACAGTGCATACTATTTTGTTTTTGTTCAAAAATTAAAATTGGGAGCATATTTGGTTCCCCTATTGCAATAAATGTTACCAAAAATAGGGTATGTCCCCAGATAAATATTTGTCTTTTGGGTTGAAAAAAGTCGTCGCGAGGGCGAGTAAAATATTTTTTAACCCTTTTAAAAACTATTACAAAAATAGAGTGACTAAATAAATATTTATCAAATAAAGTCGAGAAGTGCGACAAATCACAAATGGACTTTTTTTTTGTTACTTTATGTTTAAAAAAAACAAAAACAAACAAACAAAAGCAATGACCAACAACCTCGACCAGTCGATTGCTGGACTGCTGACTGCTGGACTGCTGAATTGTCGACCGCCGTAACGTCGACTGTAGAGTGTAGGGCGTAGGCTCGACGCAATCACAAAGGTCAAAAGATGTGCAGCGTTCACGGAAGTATTGAAAGTAACTCGACACGCGATCAGTTAAGCTCATACCAATACCGTGACCTGACCAACGGGACCACACTGCGATGCCTCAACCCAAACTCAATCGATCAACTAGTTGTTTATCCGGACAAAGAGGCCTAAATCACCACACAATATGGGAGTCCGAATCAGACAACGGCACGGAAGAAGTTCGAAAATCAGTTTCGTGTCTAAAAGTTTCTAGGAACAGCGCCGTCTACGCGTCTATAGAATCTCAGCAATTAAGTGGTGCAGTCAAAACGTTCAAGTCTATGCAAGAGCACAAAAATGTTGGACAATCCGTTTCTGTATCTCCGCGCGAAACCAATTCGAGTGCGATTCCTTATCTACAGCATCCTAACTCACCGTCGTATGTTGCCATGAAGGCGTCTGGTTCGCCTACGATTGTGCCCAACGCTAGTCCTGTCCACCTGAATCATACAAATGCTAGAATCGATCAACATTCTCCATCTGGAAGAGGTCTTCCCCTCAAAACAAGTCCTCGCCCTGACAAATCCGTCCAAAAAGTCGATATGGCTTCCGCAGTTGGGAATCACGGGCAATATGAAGTAACAAGCATCTCAAGTCACACTCAACATTCGAGAACGAGAGGTAATCAGAATTATCACTGGGGGGATAATGATGCTTTAGACACACAGCGAGAGCATAAAACACAACGATCTGAAAAGCAAAGTTCTGGTCACGCAGAACCAAGAAAAATTCAGCGATCACGTTCAGTCTCTGCCAATCGTCATGTATCTCCAATCATCTCTTCATTCAAGCGGAACTCCCCGCATAATATATCTAATATGGAAGCATTACCTATTCATCCTTATGTGAAACGCAATTCCATGTCTGATATATCAAGTTTTAGAGTTTTACAACCCTCATTTGTACGTAGTTATTTACATAACCCGGGCGGTAGAGAGAATATGCATTCACCTGCAGAACAGACTAGTGCAGATAACAGCCAATTACTGAAATCACCTGTGAATATGAAGCCGAATAATAGGAGAAAAAGCCCTGATAAATCCAGATCGCTGGTGTTTTTGCCGCCCGAGACTCTCAGTGACGTAACGGAAGGGTCACGACCAGCAACTGACGCGTCCAAAATAGCGAAGAGTGCGTTGTTCGGCGCACAATCTAGTATCCGTGTTAAGAAATCTGGTGATAGAAAACAGAAGAAAGAGAAGACAAACCCCGGAAAAGTGCGAGATAGAAAAGAGCTTAATCACTCAGATGTGAAAGCAAACAAAAACGATTCTGGGGGCAAAGGCAGCGAAAGCTTACTAGCGAAGCCCACCTTCGTACAAAACATACTGAGAAGTCCTTCACCGAAAGGGGAACGAGGTAATGGCCTTCACAGCGGTATATCACTTCCTGAGAATGATTTACGAAGTAAAGTCAAAGAAACAGGGGGAACTCTTAAGCCCCGATCGAAGAAGTCCAAAGAGCAAAGCGCAAGCTCGAAGTTGAAGCAGTACAACGACGAGCAACAACGCGCCGCTGATCGGGACGTGTCGTCGCATTCTGGAGAAGAAAATCTCGACGCGGAATCGGACGAAATAACTGTGAGTCTGACAATGGAAGAGTTCCTGTTCGAGAATGCAGCTCAAGTGGAGAAACTGGAGCCCAAGACTAAAATGAGTATGGAGGAATTCCTCTGTGAGAGCCGCGTAGGGACACAGACCGTGGCCGACGGCATTCCATTTTGAGATGAAAGTGTATCTACCGACACACTTTCTCGTTAACGTTGTTGTAGACGTTTTCAGGAACATGCGTCGTATCAGCGTATTGGCTGTGAATGTAGTTTACGCGAGACAAGGTAATATATATACATTGCACAATTCCTATTTGATCTGTTTGTTGCACAGGAGGGAAAGAACATTTTCAGACTTGTCAATGATTGTCGAATCCCGGTTTCTATCACGGATAGTCGGGCTACGGCTTTGTCTCGTTATTCCCAACAACATTTTTACGCTTCAAATTTTCTTATAAAAATCGGCTCACCTAGCATGTTTTATTTCGAAGGCTATGCCTAGCAAAAAATAATAATTGTACTTTTCAAACACACACATGCACACACACACACACTCTGTCTGTCTACTAGAGAGAGAGATGGGCTCAACACAAGAGTACAGCATTTTAGAGTGTTTTCCCCTCTACTCTAGTAGAGCGAGAGAGATATGGGTTCAACATGAGAGTATAGCATTTTTAAGGGTGTACAACATAAATGGTATAGCTAGGGTGTTTTCCCTTCTACTAGAGAGAGAGAGTGTGTAGAGATGGGTTCAACATAAGAGTATAGCACTTTAGGGTGTTTTTCTCTCTACTAGTAGAGAGAGATGGGTTCAACATGATGAGAGTAAAACATTTTAGGGTGTTTTCCCCTCTACTAGAGAGAGAGATGCGTTCAACACAAGAGTATAGCATTCTAGGGCATTTTTGCTTCTACTGGTAGATAGAGAGATGGATTCAACACAAGCCTATAGCATCTTCGTGTGTTTTCTCTCTATCAGAAAGAGAGATGGGTTCAAGATAAGAGTATAGCATTTTAGGTTGTTTTTCCCTCTACTCTAGCATTTAGAGAGAGAGATGGGTTCAACGCAAGAAGAGTATAGCATTTTATTTAGGATGTTTTCCCTCTACTCTCTCTCTTGTAGTAGTAGTAGTAGAGAGAGAGAGATGGGTTCGACACAAGAAGAGTATAGCATTTTAGGGGGTGTTTTGAGCACCTGCGAGCAAAGTGAAGGAAACTATTTATATAGAAAACTGTTGACTGTGTGAGTGTGGACTGTGGACTGTGGATTGTGGACTGTGGACTGTGGACTGTGTATTTACGTGTTGACTGTGGTCTGTGGAGTGTGCTCACTGATTTACTATTCTGCCGGTTTACATATTCGTATAAATTTCCGACGCAAAAATGCGCATTCTTCTTGTCTTATTGCACGAGGGCTATGAAATATTGTATTTATAAAAATATTAACCACACATGCTTTTTCTCTGGTTGTGTGTTTTAAGATAAATAGAAGGATGCTATTATGGCTTTCTTTGATATTTTTGTTTATATTTGGTGCAAATAATAGTGGAGAGAATAAATAAAAGATTATATTTATTTACTAGTAGTCGGAATAATAAAGAGTATTGCTGGTTGACTTCGTTACCGTCAGAAATTGTTTATAGTTCATATAGGAACCGATAATCAAAGTTGACGACTCTGTGCAATGAGAGGGCTTCCAGTGAAAAAATTTGACGTACAGTTACGATTGTATTCTCAGATTCGACTTCCGAGAATAAATTCATGTGCTGTGCGGGCGCAGCAGAGAGCAGACGTTCGCTTGGTAAGTACATCTCAAACACTGGAGTCTGTGCTATAAATATATGTATGTATAAAATTTTCCTTTTTACGAGGTTACACCGTGTGCTTGTAAAGTGGTCCGATGCTCGTGAATATAGTTGCATTCAGTAGCGAACAAGGGCCAGACTGTTGCATTCAGTAGACAAACGTGGTCCGGTCGATGACTTTATGCGCAAGTAAGTGTATGTCTGGTTTAAGGTGCGGTGTAACTTCAGGTTTATATGTGTACTATACACAGTAAACGACCTGCATACGTCATTGCGGCATTCAATTTCACTCACAAATACTGTTGTATATTTGCTTCTATACAAAAGCATCTCATTCCTCGCTATACTGAAGTACACGTCTCTATACTCGAAATTGTATTTCATATTTGTCTCGTACTGACGTATATTTCATATTCGTTTCTATACGGAAGTGATGTGCGTATCCGTTTCTAAACTGAAGTGTATTTGTTTCCACACTAAAGTATGATAGCCTGTATAGTGGAGCATATTCCGAATTCGTTTTATACCGAGTTATATTCGTTTTCACACTGGGGTATATTTGTCTGAATACTAAAGTCTATTACACATTCGTTTTATACTGATGTATATATTTTAAAAAAGAAGTGTATTTGTCTGTATACTGTAGTATATTTGTCTGTATGCTGAAGTATATTGCGTATTCATTTTCATACTAAAGTTTATTCGTCACTACACTGAAGTATACGCCTAGCTATACCTAATTATCCACCCTCGCGCCACATATATAGGTATGTGTTTGTGTATTTATTTGTATGTATGTGTATGTATGTGTATTTATATATGTAAGAGTAAGCTATATGCTCATTGCTTAATATACATTTCCACCTGTGAAGCTTGCGGACGTCGAATTTACAATTCATATGCATGTCTGACGGCTCATATATGTGATACAGTGTCTATTCTCGTCGGCTAAGTGCTTATTCTCGTCAGGACGCATACGTTATTTCATTTGTATCAATCCGCATGTCTTTGTCGTCGATGTGTCATATTCTATGCTGCCGCTATAATTCTGGAATGGTGCATTCGAACGCGAAATGAATTAGATAAATTGTATTGAATTAGATTGAATTCACTTGATTTGTTTTTCAACAATCTTCACTTGATTTGTTTTTCAACAATACTCCTTCCGCATTTGATATGATACAGTTTTCCATATCGCGCCTAGCGGCCGATGAAAATGGCGGATTGAGCGACATTCACCTCAAGTATAGAGAGAAGATAAGGAGGAAACTTGAAGCGTATGTAGTACTCGGTAGATTCTATATTGGCAGTGGTTTAGACTCGAGGTGCTCAATAAACCACACATTTATAAATTTATATACATATATATATATATAGACATAGACATAGACATATATACATATACACGCACATATATAGTATATATATTTGTGTCTGTATACATTTATACATATGTATATATATATATGTATATATATGTGTGTACATTTATATGAATACTTTCTATACATGTCTAT